GTGGAAAGTTTAGTAATGTTAATGTTTTTCATCATTTTTAACTAAAGAGTTATAAAATAATTTTATATGTTGTTAATTTTACAAAAATAATTTGCCTTAATTATTTAAGAAACATGTTTGAGATTTTAAAAATATTTTAATATTTGTTATAATATATTTATATCAATAATGTTGTTGAATTAAAATAAAACTTATTTACACGTCTGTCAGTTAAACAGTATATCTACAAATAATTTAAATATAAAACTAGCATTACTAATTGAATTATATTTATTCATAACAGAATTGCTAACTATTTATTCACTAATAGATGACAATCATGTAGACATTATGGGGTAAATACTGGAAAAACTTTTAATGTAAAATTATATTACATTTTATAATTCTATTGATTTTCCGGATTTAATAATGTTTGCTTTAATTTTTAGATATAACACTTTATTTTATTAATTATAAACAATAATATTTAAGATCATAAAACTGATTTTAATTAAAGTTCATTTTAAAGTAAGGGTACCAAGAATATTGTGTATAAAGGCATGTATAACATTTTTATAGTTTTGTCCTATCATAGATTTCTTATAGAGAAATCTACACGTCATACCTTATATACCGTTTTATGACGTGTGTCCCTCTGTATGAGAAATCTGTAATAGGGCGTCAATTTAGAAATGTTATACAGTACTTGCCTCAAAAACTCTATACCATACTACATTTACATAGTGTATTTTATTACAATTTATTGTGAAAATCTATTTTTGAGAGTTTGATATTATATGTTATAAAACATTTGATAATGTGATAATGTTAATGTTATTAAAGAATTTCTATTATTTTTCAATAAATACTTAAAACACGGGAAACCTCAAAATAGCGGACAGTACTACCATATAGAAAACAGTTGGTCAGTCTGGAAATAAATGCATTTAATATAAATTTGATTTGATTGTACTTGCTACTCAGAATTTGTGCGTTTATTATACAAACAAAATCGAATCTATATTACTCAACATCTACATGATGTTTACACTTACTTTAACTTAAATAGAGAATTAATTTTTTTATCGTACCTTATACAAATAACTGCGAATTGATTAATATTTATACAACCTATCTGAAAATATTCATAAAATCATATCTAAAGTAATTAAAATATGAAAGTTTGCAACAAAGTTACTAAACAATTAGGGTACATTAATAAACATTGTTTCACTGAATATTTTACTTAATACGCAGTAATACATAAAAATAACTAGTCTAGTTTTATGAACTATTTTAAAAACTACGTAAAGGTTTTTGAAAACTTTATGCTTTTCCTGGTATATTTAAATTAATTTTAAAATAAATACTAACTTTAACATGATAGATTATTCTTTCATATGACTTCAAAATTTAAGCAAATCTATTTAATTATATAAAACCAAAGGTAAATAAATGATGTCGCTTGTACCATTTTTATAATTTTAATATTAAATATATGCTAAAAAATAAATTAGCTTGCTTACTCTTATACAAACTATCGGGCATTTCATTTCATCCCAATATTGACATATTTTTCCTGTCTTTTCATTGGTACTTGTTAAATTGTCCTCGTCATCCAAATGTCTATTTATACAGGGTAACGCAAACCAACAAATATTAGGTTCCTTTTTCTTAGTACCAGCTTCATTTATTATCACACAAATGAGTAATGACACAAATAGTATAAATATAGCTATGTACATATTTTGACTAATTTAGCATATTTGCATTATTACTTGGTAGCCATAATAGTATATTTACAGACACCCGTAAACGTTACAAAAACGTGCATGTCAGTGTATGATCATGCAATTACATTTCATTATAATGGCATTTGAATGGCTGCATTATGTGAGATGGCTAGCACTATGTAAACGTAATACTAGACAATGATTAGAGCGACGGTAACAATATTTTAATAGACTCCGAGTGATAAATATGGAGATAACACTCTCTAAGTGTTAAAGTGTCTTGAATATAAGTAGTGAAAACGCCTACCAAATTGGTCTTGTGTTGTATGATTCATATATTTATATTATTTTTAAGACATAGCGAACGAACGAACAAACAAACAAATAAACCAACAAACGACAGACAGACAGACAGAGAGGGAAGGAGGGTGAGAAAGCAAGGTTTTAATCTAAGCACCAATGTATTATAGAAATTGTAAAAACGTGCAAGTCAATTGTAATATATTAAGGCTAAGGGCAATTAAATTACAATGAACTATATCATAGACTAACAGTCATGGGCTACAGAGCCCAGTTACTAATACCTATAACATTAGTATTTAATGTAGATCAAAAATTTTGTTAATGTATGAACTATTGTATATACCTACGGTGCTCACTGGAGTCATTTGGGGCCACACTATGAGTGAAAAAACTTTAAACATTTTAACATTAATCTCTATACTGACTAATGTTATAATATTCACTATTTTGTCACTGTTAATGTGGCCCGGATCACACGAATGCGCATCGTAGGTATATACTATAGTAGAACCTTTCATAAAACAACATATATATTATTGTAATTTAAATTCTATATAAAGACTTGACATACCATAGAAGTTATCAGATAATTTATTTAATTGTTTTGGTTTACTAAATTGGAAAATGAATTGTAATGAGTAAGCTATTATAATGACATTACTTATTGAGAACGTCAGGAAATTTTTAAAATGCATAAAATATTATTATAAGTTAATAATATTTGTATGCAGGTAATAATATAAAAATTATTTTTGACTTTGTGTTATTTTTATTTTAAACTTATTTTTAAAAGTTAATATTTATAAATTCTTAAGTTATCAAATTATAGTTGTTAATATCTCGTTAAAAAAATTTTAAAAATTAAATTCTTGATAAATTTAAAATTTAAAATGGACTTATTTTAGAAACATTATAATTTACTTAAGTTTATTTAAAGATTGTAAAATAAATATAAACATTTATTACATTACTCATTATAAATATTAAATTGATTAAAGTAATGTTTAATACAGTATAAGACATTTAAGTATTATGATAGTAAAAACATAAACAATTTTTTCAGCTTATGTTGGTAACGATTAAATAATTGTTTCTTAAATATTCAAGTTACATACAAATTACTTTAAATATGATTTTACAACAATTTATATTAATTAATCTTTCAATATAAGGATATACTGTTAATGTTCTTATAAATAATATAAATTAATAATTATAATTTACGTCTTTACATAGTCACTTATTTATTAAAGAATTAACATGTTCATTATGCTAAATTAACAAAATAAAATAATTAAAATGCTCATTATTAATACAAATGATCGTCTCCGTGCATGAAACGGTTATCTATTTTTTAACGCAAACTGTTTACATAATCTAATCATTACATTACTAGAATCGCAAATATGGTAGTTTATTATTTCTAAAGTTGTAATTATTATGTTATGTATACAGTTTGCATTGATAAAAGATAACTGTTTTAAGCACGGAGACGTTCAAATGGACTATCAAATCAAATCAATCAAATCTTTATTATAATCAAACCCGTTGATTAAATATAAATACAAAGGTAAAATAATAAAGTTAATTAGGCGTATTAGTCGTATTAAAGCGTATTAGGTGTATTAGGTGTATTAGGTGTATTAGGTGTATTAGGTGTATTAGGTGTATTAGGTGTATTAGGTGTATTAGGTGTATTAGGTGTATTAGGTGTATTAGGTGTATTAAAGAGAGGTTTTAATCTAAATATTAAGTTTTAAAGTATTATATAAATTTCAAAAACGTGCAAGTCAATTGAAATATGTTAGGTCTAAGGACAATTAGTTTACAATGAACTATATAGTATGAGCTTTCATAAAACAACATATATTTCATTGTAATATAAATTCACTAAGACTTGATATACCATAGAAATTATCAGATAATTTATTTAATTGTTTTGGTTTACTAAATTGGAAAATGAATTGTAATGAGTAAACTGATTTAGTGGTATTACTTAGTGTTAACGTGAAGAAATTTTTAAAATGCATAAAATATTATTATAAGTTTATAATCTTTGTATATATATAATAATATAAAAATTATCTTTGGTTTTGTCTTGTTTTTATTCTATACTTATTTTTAAAAGTTAAAATTTATATTTATAGGTTATCAAATTATTGTTTTTAATATTAACGTTAAAATCCGATTAAATATTTAAATGGTTGATATATTTAAAATATCAATTGAACCGTTTGATAGCAAAGGGAATTAAGTCTAAATGCAAATACAATGTATTGAACTTTATGTAATGGTTTAGCCAAATAAGCTTATATACCCGACACAAGTTTAAATATAGACTTGATTCCCTTTGCTATTAAAGCATTCAATTGAACATATTTTAGAAGCATTATTTACTTAAGTTTATTTATAGATTCATAATTTATAAATATAAACATTTATTACATTACTCATAAATAGTAAATTCATTAAAGTAATGTCAAATACAGTATAAGACATTTAAGTATTATGATATTAAAAACGCAAAAAAATCTTTTCTGCTTAAGTTGGTAACGATAAATTAATTGTTTGTTAAATATTCAAGGTACATTACAAATTACTTAAAATATTACTTTATAGCAATTTATATTAATTAACCTTTCAATATAAGGATATACTGTATAATGTTCTTATAAATAATAACAAATTATAATAATAATTTACGTCTTTACATAGTTACTTATTTAATAAAGAATTAACATGTACTATTATGCTAATTGCTATCAAAATGCTCATTATTACTACAAATGTAACATTACTCTATACACAAATAACATAAGGCAGGGGATACCATGACTGAGACGCTTATAGTCAATGATTTGGACTATTAGATACCCGTTACTATATTATATATAATCTATTGTGATAGACAGTATTTCAAAATGTGTATAACCAAGATTAATATTTTAATTGTGTCATTTATGTTTAAATAGTTTAAATGTGACTTATTTGAAGTCGAATATAAGGGATCACAATCCTGTTGCCCATATATGGATTGTCTACCATTTTTAGTATCGGTTACCATAACAGCCATGTTTGATAGTAAATCATCGACTGCGTCCACTTCATCATGCGAACAATTAAACTAAAATTAAGAACCTATTTTATTAGAAGTTACTTATTCGTTAAATGTTAAAGTTTAAAACTATTTTTTATAAGTAAAATTATTTCAAAACAATTTATATAAACAACACCCTAATGAATGGCGACATCTATTTTTAATACTATAATACATATTTAATATACTTTGCATTATTTAATGATGTAGATGGCATTATTTAGTACGATGCTGTTAATAAAAATTATTTTAAATTATATAATATCGATTTTATTCTGAACTTTTAAACTGTAAATATAAATATCTGTATTTGTTAGTTATATCAAATAAAATATTTTTAAAATATGCACAATATTAATTAGAATAAAATAAAATGTACTTTTTGATTATTAACCTACCTGAGCATATACTTTATTGCATTCAATATTAGACCACAGCCATTGACAGGAGTTGTATTTATTTCCGTTGCAGTAACTATAACTGCCATTTTCTTCATTGCACCTTGTCACATTTGCATAAATATCTCTAAAGCATCTATACGCAATATCCTGTAAACTGTTATCTTGATGAAAATATGGTGTATTTATTTTGCATAATACTTCATCCGAATTAATATTTGCATTGACAATAATTGGTATAATAATTATGTAAATTAATGAATAATTAATTAATAAAAACATATCACTATGTTAAATGTTAAATTTCAAAAATATGAATTTGATTATAAAATGAAATGAACAAATACTGTATTATAAATATATTGAAAACATAAGAGAAAGTAAAAGGTTTATTATTCATATATAACTTACTAAAATGATAAGATATTATTTTGCTAAATATTATACTTGAGTGAAATACTTGAGCTATTAAAACCTAATTGTACAATATTATTATTTTAAATTTGCACAAAACCTAGCATATGTTTAATATAAACATAATATCTACAATAATCGACTTCACTGTAATGCACATATTAAGGTTAATACATATAAAATATTTAAATATTTTGATAGACTTTAGGCGCAAAAATATATACCTTTTTATGGCCAGATTGAGAACAAAACACTTTACCAGTATATAATTATCTAATATTATAATATTAAAGTTTTATATACTTGTTTACAAAGATATAAATGTGCAATACCTTTTGATAATTAAAACCTTTGTTATTTATTATCATTATATATTTTGAAAAACAACGTTAATCAATTTTTGTGCATAGGTGGATTAGTTTTAGGTTTATATAAAAATTTTTGTTGTTTTATATGTTAAAGGAATTATATTATGTTTATAACAAAAACTCATAAATTAATAAGTGTTATTGTCACATTATTAATTATTTTAATTATATTATCGTTCAACGGTGCTTGAATTATTAAATTTACAATTGAATTAATAATTTATAAATTAGATTAATAGTATGCTATCTAGTAGTAAAATGTTTTTATGACATTTTATAATTATAATCATAAGGCACTTATCTCATATTTTATTTGTTATGTGAAATGCATAATAATCATTGATATCATTGAAAGCATTAATTTGTGTTTACTAATGTGAAATAGTTAATTAAGAGTATTATCAGATTTAATAGTACGTATTCATGTTCAAATTTATATGTATATGAATTTAATTTTAATATTCATGCATTAATTTTGATATAATATAAAGAATATCAATTCATTAATAAATAAAATAAATAAAATATTTCAAATAACTAAGAAGGAATCTCTCGATACGGAAAGTTGGCCATGCTAGTTTAATTTGTATGAACATAAACTAAATCATATACTTGATAAATATACATGGTCAAAAAGTGCGAATTCGGGCGATAAAATGGTCATTTTGCCGTCAA